GCAGATGCGAAGGAAAAACTGGCTGAAGAGAGGGAAGGAATGACACTGATTAAAAAGAAATGTACTCATTACCTGATGTATGTAACTATAACCTATCTGTACATTACCTTTACAATAACAATAAAGAAAAGTATATTGGAGGATATGTGTGGGCAGTATATAAGCACTAGTCAGATAAATCTATGAAACTCTTATCTCCAATTAACCAGGAAAAAGCCAGAAATGGAGATGTGGCTCAAGTGGTAAAGAATCAGCCTTGAGCAAGAAAGCCATATGAGAGCAGGAAAACTTGGGCTTGAACTCCAATAACCTCTCTCTTCTTCTCTTCTATCCTTCTTCTCTCCCTTCTTCCCTCTGTCCTTTCCTCTCCACTCTCATTCAAACCACAGCTGGGCACACAAATATTGCTATCATATTAGCTCCATAAAAGGCTGAGATTGGGACAATTTAGTTCCAGACAGCACCAGGTGGAAAAGTTTGTTAGCTTTTATCTCAGTGGAAGAAGCTGGGCATGGTGGCCAAATTTGTGGTGATTTATTATGGAAATCATAAAAAATGAATATAGAAATACTGAATTTGAGGGAATGGTAAAGCAGCAGTTTGAAAGAAATCCACAGGTTTAATGTGCTTATAGTAGAAAAAAATATAAACTCAATCATCTAAGATTTCCTTTTAAGAAGCAAGAAAAAAAAGGGCAAATTAAGCCATAAATAAATAAAAACAGGGCTGGGAAGGTGGCTCAGTGGTAGAACGCTTGCCTTGCATGCATGAGGCCCTGGGTTCGATTCCTCAGCACCACATAAGCAAAAAGAAAAAAGCCGGAAGTGGCACTGTGGCTCAAGTGTTAGAGCGCTAGCCTTGAGCTGAAGAGCTGAGGGACAGCGCCCAGGCCCAGAGTTCAGGCCCCACAACTGGACCCAAAAATAAAAAAATAAAAAATAAATAAAAACAAGGACAAATATATAGGAAAATCACTGAAATTCAAAGTTGGTTCTTCAGAAAGATAGGAGGAATTAATGAATTTCTACTGATTAGCTCTTAAAAGAAAGACCCAAATTGCCAGGGGAATTTAGCATAGTTGCTGTAGATAATATGGGGATAATAAATAAGTACATGATTTAGAGTAATACTTAGCCAACTTTGTTAAATAGAAAATGTCCTTCAAATTTTAATAAACTCAAGAGCAAATAAAAACTTAACCATGTATGACTTATTCATAATTTAACCTTTTTCCACAAATAAAATCGCATCCCAGATGCATAGAGTCCAAATCAGGAGGAAGATATTATATCAAGAAACAGTTTTGATGTTCTTTGAACTTACCAAGAGTAAAGGACTGAAGTAGTAGCTCCAGTAGTAGAGCACATATCTAGGAAGCATAAGGCCCTGAGTTCAAGTTCCAATATTACCAAACAACAACAGTCTCAAACCTACCAAGAGTGTATATGTTAGTTTCTTTGGCAATTTCTTATTTTATTTTATTTTTTTGTCCGTCGTGGGGCCTGAACTCTGGGCCTGAGGGCTGTCCCTCAGCTCTTCAGCTCAAGGCTAGTACTCTACCATTTGAGCCACAGCACCACTTCCGGTTTTCTGGTGGTTTATTGGAGATAAGAGTCTCACAGACTTTCCTGCCTGGGCTGGCTCTGAACCTCAATCCTCAGGTCTCAGCTTCCTGAGTAACTAGGATTATAGTCATGAGCCACCAGAGCCTATCTTATATTAGTTCTTGAAAATGAACTAAAAAATATTTCCAGTGCCAGGTGCCAAAGGCTCATACCTATAACCTTAGCCACACAGAGGCTGAAATCTGAGGATCACAGTTCCAGGCAGGAAAGTCTGTGAGCTCATATCTCCAATTAACCACAAGTAGAGTTCAGGTGCAAGTGGTAGAGCAAAAAACTCAAGGACAGAGCCCAGGCCCTGATTCAAGCCACATGATGGGTGCATACACACGCATGTGCATGTACTCGTGTACGTATATACAGACACAGACACACAGACACACATACCCACCCCACCCCCACCCCCCACCCCCACACATGTTTCCATAATTTTTTTTCTAGGTACAGATCTGATGAGTGTTCCCATGTGACAGTTTGTAAAAGCTGAAATCATCAGTTACCCTGTCTTCCCCACACACTTATTTTACCCTAGAAAAAGAAAAGCCTTTGCTTATTTTTGTGGGAAAAAAAGTAGCAAACTGGTGTACTTTTATTTTTTAGCTCTTTCATCTCTGAGCATGGTTAGGTGGAATATAAATGACTATAAAAATTCAGGCTATTCAAGGCAAATTTTCCTTGCAAGCTAGCTTCTGGAAACCTTTGAATTGACCTGTTGCTAAACCTTATATGATTGATGGAATCTAATGATTAAAGTTTTAATCATTATTTCTTGATGTTCTCCATGTTTTTAGACTATTCTGTTCCCTTATCTATGTGTGTGGCTTGAATGGAAGCAAGATTTGCCTCTCCTATACAAAAGCTGAGACAAAATGCATTTCTGTTTCTTAATAAATATTAGAATTCCCATGTAATAAGCTTTTTGGTGAAGACTCCTAGGACGCAGATGTCTCTGACTGCCTGCGTTGAAGCCCCTGTGGCTGTGTGGGGACACACCCACAGGCTTCAAGATTTGAGGAAAAACAAGTAGGTTGGCAGGTTCTCTAGGCTATGTACTGAGGACATAACTGGCACCAAGAACGCTATGCAAATGTTGTCCTTTACTTGAGAAGTCACAGTTCCTTGGCTGGAGTAAATGAACAATAAGGTACCTTTGTGCTCCAAAGAATCTACAAACCAATGCTCTATTCTTCTACACTCGTTCCCTCAGCATTCTCCTACTATCTATTCACTCATGTGGAAAGCTGCAAGTATAGACACAACATTCAAAAGACATGGAAAAAAGTCTCTTTCCTTCCTTAGCAACCAACCTCATAGCTCTCCTCTCCCTGGTAACATTTACTATTACAGGTTCTTATGTACCTTCCAAGATAGTCTAACACATTGTAAATGAAAGTGAAAATATATGTATATTTCTTCCCACAAACTATAATTCATACAATGTTGTGTACCTAGCTTTTTTTAAAGTCATTCACTTAATATAGTTTGAGAGTCCTTTTTTAAAATCACTGCAGAGAGAGAATGTAATGTCTGTTTAGTCCAACTTTTTTTTTTCCCACTTGCGCCAATAATTGGACTTGAATTCAAGGCCTGGGCTCTGTCCCTTAGCTTTTACACTCAAGGCTGGTGCTCTACCACTCGAGTCACACATCCACTTCTGGATGATTTTTTGGCTGGGTGGTGTTTACTGAAGGCAAGCATCTCACAGACTTTTCTGCTTATGGTGTCTTCAAACTGCAATCCCAAATGTCAGCCTCCTGAGTATCTAGGATTATAGGCAGAAGCCACCAATTCCTGGTTTTAGTTCAGCTTTGAAAGTAAACTGGATAAGCCAGGCGCTGGTGGTTCACACCTGTAATCCTAGCTACTCAGGAGGCTGAGATCTGAGGATCACGGTTCAAAGCCAGCCTGGGCAGGAACTTCTGTGAGACTCTTATCTCCAATTAACCATCAGAAAACCGGAAGTGGTGCTGTTTCTCCAGTGGTAGAGTGCTGGCCTTGAGCTGAAGAGTGCAGGGACTGCGCCCAAGCCCAGAGTTGAAGACAACAACAACAACAACAAAAAAAACCAGGATGACATTCTAATCTAATAGGTACTGATGAAACCTGACTTATTTTATTTTCATTTTTGTTAGTCATGGGGCCTAGAGGCTGTCCCTGAGCTTTTCTGCTCAAGCCTAACACTCTACCTACCACTTTGAGCCACAGATCCGTTTCTGATTTTCTGGTAGTTTCTGGTAGTTCATTGGAGATAAGAGTCTCATAGACTTACCTGCCCAGGGTGGCTTCCATCCTCAGATCTCACCCTTCCAAGTAGCTAGGATTACAGGAGTGAGCCGCCAGGGCCCAGCAAAAACATAATTTATTTCAATGTCTTCTTTTGATAGACATTTGCTTCCAATATTTGGTAGCCCAAATAATATAGCAATGGATGAACTGTACTCATTTCACCCTGTGTCAGATGCATCTATAGGGCAAATTTCTAACATAAGAATCTCTGGGGGTGGGGTGGGGAAGAATCTCTGGGTCAGTTTATAAATACACTTGCTACTTTGAGAGTTATGAAAGCATGGCTTTTGCTAACCTGTCAGGTGGGCTATTTTACCTTGTAATTTGTAAGCGAGTATCTTTTCAGGAGTGGTTGCTACTACATTGTTTCTCTGAGAACTATCCTCTGACATCCATTAATCTCCAAAAGGTAGAGTATGTTTGGGTCATAAACGAACTATCAATGACCTTGCACTAGCATAAAAGACACCTGCGCTTGCGCACTTGTGCGACCCCCTCCCCCTCAAGGTCCCCGTAGAAATCTATTAGGCTCCAGTATAGAACTTCAGCCCTGTGTGGCATTGGGAGCGTTACTTCAAGTCTTTGGGCCACAGCGACCGAGTAGTCAGCATAAGGTCTGTCTGACCAACACGGCCCTTTTTAAACCAGGAACCGATGAATCCATCAGTTAGGATACCTAGTCTGCTGGGAAATCTGGCCGGGGGGGGGGGGGGGGTGGTCCAGGCCTAGCAACCCAACGTCGGGGAACGCGAGCCAGGCCTCTCTCTTTAAAGCCTGATGCTCAGTGTTCAGAGAACTGCAACAAAAGGAGGAAAATCGAGAAGAGGGGAGCCCTCCCTCCTCCCAGCCCGGGGAGCCCTCCCTCCCTCCCTCCCTCCCTCCCCCGCTACCCGCCGCTCGGGCTAGCGGACACCTTCCCTGCGCCGCGCTGCAGCCTCTGCAGCCGGGCGCGGCGGGGCGGGGCGCGCTGGGAAGCCGGGGAGCCCGGGGCGGGGGGGGGGGGGGGGGGAAGGGAGGGGCCCGGGCCACGTGATCCCAGACAGCTGTTGGCAGAGCGACCGTGGGGGGAGGGGGGCGGGGCGGCCGGCGGAGCCTGGGAAGCGGGAAGCGCGCACGGCGGCCGCCTCCGCCACTGCAGCCGCAGCCCCCGATGTCGCCGCACTAACCGGAACCCAGGTCACAGCATCAGCACCGCCGGCCGGGCAGATCCCGGGAGCCTTCCACCCCGCAGGTGAGGCGCGCTGGGGCCAGGACTGCGAGCTCAGGGATTTCCGCTGCAGGTTCCCCCCTTCCCCCCCACACCCCATCCCACCCTCGAGGTCCTGGGTGCATAGTCGCCTCGCCTCCAGCTGACCCTCCGGATGCACGGACGGTGCTCTCCGGGGCCAGATCCTCGGGGTTGCAGGCACTGGCCAGCTGGAGCCTGGGGGAGGGGGCGGAGGGGGAGGGGTCTTGGTCAGGGGTGACTCGGAAATATAGAGTGCACGGGTGAAGCAGGGGGACACCCCACCCCGGGGCGCAGGCTCTGCAGCCCGGTTGGAACCTGCCCCCGCCCTCCACACCCCAATCTCATCTCTCCCATTTACCTCCCGCCCCCCCCCCCCCACCCCCATCTCTTTTTAATTCTAGTAAATCCAGACTTCGCTTCCTCCCGTGTTTTCTTTTCCCGGGGACCAAGTTGCAGTTCCGTAGGCTGTTTGCCAGCGCATCCTTCACCCTTCCACCGGTGGCATGGGTGGCCGTGGCCGTGGTCGAGAAAGACAGGCAAATTCCTCTAGTAAAGCACCTGCAGCCAAGGGCAGATTTGCCAGGGACAGGGCTGCCTAGCTGGGCCCTCGCCCTTGAGCTGCCTCTGTACCCCTGGCCTTCCATCCCTTCCCACCCCTACCCCAACCCCCACCCGGAATCTGCCGGGTCTGAGACAGCCTGAGTCTACTGTCCGCTGAAGGCCCGACATGCCAGCTGTTGCTCTGGTCTGCACGCCGAACTGGACATAACTCCCCTTACCCCCAAGCCTCGCCTGGAGATCTAGGGGCGGTTAGTCCAGTTACTATATTTCTGAGGTGGCTGTTTGTTCACCTCAGCTTACCTTTGCCTTTTGGTTTGCTCCTCTGTGGGGGCACTATCAACATCATGAAAAGCTGGAAGGGATGCTTGAATCTTAAAGAACTGGTGAGAATCTGGGGCTACTCCACATAACTACATTCTTACCTAAAAACATTTGTCATTGCTGTTACCCAAGCTGACCTAGTAGTAGGGTTCTCTAAATAATTATTTTCCCCTGGGTAATTGTAGTTTGCAAGTACATCGAATTATTCTGTGCCTAGCCTTCTGGTGCATGTGTATTTGTGTGTGTGTGTGTGTGTGTGTGTGTGTGTGTGTGTGTGTGTGTGTGTGTCTGTCTGTCTGTGCCTGCAGTATTCCACACCCAGTTGGAAAATACACCACTTGCAGAGGAAACCTATGCTAATTCAAAATGGCAGAATATAAAATCAGGCCAGACTGAAGCTTGACAGACCACAGCCAATAGCAGCTGCCCCCTGACTTAGGACTTTCTAAGAGAGTCAGACGAAGTGACTACTCTGTCATAGGTATCTTTACCTTAGGGCAAGTTGGGGGAGGGGAAGAAGGGGCAAAAGCATCAAGGATTAAATGGGAAGTTTAAGAATCTGCAATTTTTTTTTCAAACTTACAAAAATCTGGTAAAATACCTAAATGAAACTCTGATTTTAATTTGATTTTATTTAGCCTCAACTAAAGTTGACTGTGTGGCTGCTGCTGTTTTGTGCATGGCTTAGATGTCTTGTATCCACAGGGACTCTTAAAAGAGAGGAGTGTATAATGTAAATATCATCCAAGAACAGTGCACATACTAAATATAGATAGCCAAATTTCACTGGAAGAGCTGAATTAGCACCATGAGCAAGCAAACACTGAAGCAGCAAGAAATGGCAACATTTTTGCAAGGTGACTCATTTTTAGGTTTATTTTGTTGTTGTCTTTTGCTTTTTTAACAGTTTCCTTTCTTTTTTCACTGGTGTGTTGCCAGCCATCTTGTTTTTAGGAAGCAGAAAATGCATGAACATGCAAGTGCTTTGGGGATAATGGAAAACAGAAAGATGTGCTTAAAGTCTGGAGGGGGAGAGCTGGAGTCATGCTGGGAAATCTTGTTGTCAATCACATTTTCACAGCAGGGAGGCTGAATCCAGCAGGATGAATGAACTACTAAGGTTTTATTAGCTGGCTGTCAACTGGCATCCAGGGTCCAAATCCAGGTCCTGCTGACCTCTATCTCCCAGTCTTGATTTCCACATGTCTTTGAAAGCCTTGGGAAAGGGGAAAAGTTTACTGTCTACTTTGAGCAATGGGAAACCAAACTGTAGGATGAATTAAAAATCTTAAAAATGTTTAAGGTCAGAGACAACTCTTTAATTTCTTAATTCAAGCCCATTTAATTTAAACTGTATCTACCAGATATTCACATTTTCTAGTGATGAGATTGCATCTCTTTTTAAGAACCAAAACTTTAATTGTAACCAATATCTTTAAATGCAAAAATGCATTCTTTGATTTAAAAAATTAGTTGCTCGTGTTTGTGGAGAACCATTAGGATATTTCCTTTAAAAAGAAACTAAAGTGGGCCACATATCTTCATGTCTTAAATGAACCTAATTTTAAGAAGAAACAAAGCCCATGTTAAAGTAACTGAAATTATACTCAAGTCAGGGTTTTTCTGTAACTTGAATTTGAATTTTCTAAGTCATGAGTTGGTGACTCCAGATCTACTAAGGCTAAACTAGAAATTGTGCATGGGTTGTTATGGTTTGGGCACAGTGGTCAGCACATGGACATTCCAGGATTCTCTTTCCACAGCCAGCGAGGAGGGAGAAGGTGGGAAGAAGCAGGGAAAAGGGAGAATGACTTGAAACCATTGGGATGGATAGGAGCCAAGTATGGATAGATATGCTGAAGTGAAGACAGATGCCACATGTTCAGTTTTAAAAAATTACTCACATGACAGCATGAATGTGTAGATAGACTATTAATGACACGTTTTAAAAAAATCCATAAGATTGAGGGTGTAGTTCAGTGGCAGCGCACTTGCCCAGCATTCTCCACACCCTGAGTTCTTCCCCAGCACGATAGATAGATAGTATAAACATATGAAGCTTATGTTTGTTGGAGGGCAATCAAATTATAAATAAGCAAAAGGGTATATTTTTTTTTTCTATTCCGGTCCGGGGTCTTGAACTCTGTGTTTGGACGCTGTTCCCTGGGCTCCTGTTGCTCAAGGCTAGTGCTCTGCCACTTGAGCCACAGTGCCACTTCTGTTTTTTTTCTGTGATACATTGGAGATATGCAACAGAAATACTCACAAGACAATATGCTGGAAATGATCTGTACAATTTTAGGAGGAACAGGAGAAGGAAAAGTGGGAGAAAAATGAGGGAGGGGGCAACAAGTTCAACAAGAAATGTACTTATTATCTTACTTATGTAACTGTAACCCCTCTGTACATCTCCTTGACAAAAATTTAAAAAAAAAATCTGTTCTTAAAAAAAAAAATCTCATTGACTTTCCTGCCTGGGTTGGCTTCGGACTGCGATTCTCAGATCTCAGCCCCTGAGTAGCTGGGATTACAGCAAAAGTTGTTTTTTTTTTTCTTTTTGTTGGTTGTGGGGCTTCAACTCTAGATCTGGGTGATGACTCTCAGCTCTTCTGCTCAAGGAGAACACTCTACCTACTTGAGCCACAGTGTCACTTCTGGTTTTCTGGTGGTTTAATTGGAGGTAACCGTCTCTCAAACTTTCCTGCCTGGGCTGGCTTTGAACCGTGATCTTCAGATCTCAGCCTCCTGAGTAGCTCGGATTACAGGCATGAGCCACCAGTGCCTGGCTAAAGTTTTTTTTTTTTTAATCACAATAAGAAAATAGTGTTTACAATTCAGCAGCCATTAGCTAAGTGTTTATTGAACACTTGAAACATGGCTAGTCCAAATAGAGAAAATTGAAAATGTCTTATGAGTGAAAAATACAAACCAGATTTTAATACCTTTCTTTTATACAAAAGAAGAATTTTAAATGTGTTAGTAATTTTTATTTCGATGCTTTCTTAAAGTATTATGTTGGCTATATTTGGGTTAAATAAAAGTCATACTTTATCTTTTGAAAATGTGGCTGCTACAAAACAAAATTGTGCCTAGGACTAATATCTGCCTTACATTACATTTATGTTGGACAGTGTCAGTCTAGGAAGTTGTTACCAGGAAATGGGCAGACATTAGTGAGGCTGTGTGTAAAACATAAGGAGAAGCTTGACAAATAAAAAAAAAAAAAAGCTAAGCTGGGCCCTGGTGGCTCACGCCTGTCATCCTACTTACTCAGGAGGCTGAGATCTGAGGATCGCGGTTCAAAGCCAGCCTGGGCAGAAAAGTCTGTGAGACTCTGATCTCCAATAAACCACTAGAAAAGCAGAAGTGACACTGTGGCTGAAGAGGTAGAGCGCTCGCCTTGAGCTGAAGAGTGCAGGAACAGCACCCAGGCCCAGAGTTCAAGCCCCACGACTGATGGAGAGGTACTGCAAGGACTGAGTAATCAGAGACACTGTAAACGGAGAAGGGGCTGGGACAGTTGAATTATGAGGTTTTCTTTTCCTTATCTTGTGGATCCATGCCTCATATATGTTGGCAACTGCACTACCACTGAGCTACACCTCAATCCTATGCAACATTTTGAAGCAGAGTAAGCAGACTCGTGAACAAAGACTTGGGGTGAATGGAGAAAGAGTTGGCAGGTGTTAAGGTAGATGATAGGACTTTAGGATGGTGAAAACAAATGCTCACATGCCTGTGTAGTACTGCATGGTAACTTCCCTACTCTTAGGTCAGTGTTTGCACATCCAAATGAGATGAACTTATCCTAATTCAGAGTGTAAGTCAGGGATCTTGGATCCTAGCTCTGGTTTCCTCTAATTACGAGTTTGACCTTGAACAAGCCATTTATTTTTTTCTCCTTTTAAAAAATGGGATGAGCAAGAGCTATCCACCAGTTCCACACAGTGGTTTCCATGGGATGAGGTATAGCATATTAAAAATCACAAGGAATTACTGGATTTTTACATTGATTTGTCAAAACACGGTATACTGATATATACTGTCAGTATATTATGAATATGGTGTCACATTTAAGGATATATCTGCTTACATGTGAGAGTGACATAGACTGTACATAT